ATAGGGGTCAGGTTATTTTTGCTTAACAAGAAACCCAGTTACTGAGCTGACCAGAATTGCTCAGATGAATGACCATGAGATGAGAAAATATATAAAATCACTAGGTACTCAAATAGAAGTTAGTATCAAATATTTGAAGTGGACAGATATTTATCCTTTCATCTGTAGGTTTCATCATGTCTTCTTCACACCTAACTTTTGACTCTGCTTTTTTTAATTGCTTGTTATTTCCTCTGGTTAAATATTTTTTTACTCATAATTACACATAAACTACTTATGGGTTGGAAGAAAGCCTTAGCCTTCACTTGTTTTCTCTCTTCCTTTCAACTCTTCCTTTTGATAAAATGATCTTTTATTCCAGAATTTCTAGTCTGTTTTAGCTTTAAATGCTCTATTGTGTTGTTCTGTAACCCATTGACATGTCCCCAAATTCCTACACTGTAATGTATAAAGTAAATGCAAAAAACTGGACCTCTTTTAGGGCTGTAGTTCTTCAGCAAAATGGTCATGTCTTAATATACTTCAAAGAGATGTTATTTCAATTCTAATTCTAGACCAAGGACCAGACGATCATGCTGATGTTGAAGAGATTGGTTAATATGATGTACTTATGATCAAATTTTGACTTAGCGAATACATTGATTATACTCAAGGTGCCTAGTAAACGATGTGCTTGTGTCACATAGAGGATGTTAGAAAAATAACTGTTTTATATTTGACATAGTATCTATTGTTTTGAAGGCCTAGGAGAGAGAGAAGATGGGAGATAGTTTCACTCATGAAATTTCAAATTTAGAAAGATCTCTGTGAGTGAGATCCCAGTGGAAAGAACAGGCCAGCAAAGAAGGTGGTACCTTTCTCTGAAGGGAGGAGAGAACTTCCACTTTGACTATGACCTTGTCTGATAAGATCACAGTTGGTGAACTCAAAAGGCTTCCATAGCCTTGGCAACTCATGACAAGAGCCTAGGGTGATTACTGATGCCATAAACAAGAGGGTCAATTGTTAAATCAACAACAGGAGTCACTGTGCACTTACTCCCCATGTAGGATCTCTGTCCTTAATGTGTTGCTCAATGTGAATTAATGCTATAACTAGTACTCAAATAGTACTTTATACTTTGTGTTTCTGTGTGGGTGCAAACTGTTGAAATCTTTACTTAATATATACTAAATTGATCTTCTGTATATAATGATAATTGAAAATGAATCTTGATGTGAATGGGATGGGAGAGGGAGCAGGAGATGGGAGGGTTGTGGGTGGGAGGGAAGTTATAGGGAGGGAAAAAGCCACTGTAATCCAAAAGCTGAACTTTGGAAATTTATATTTATTAAATAAAAGTTAAAAAAGTAAATTTCAAATTTATATTATAATACTCCATCTTAAAAAATAACTTTGATACCTACTGATAGTGTAGTGAGAAACAAATATTTGTATGAATGGATTTGACAAATTCTATTTTATTGGTGTATTTTTGGAGAGATCTTTTAGATATATAAGCAGAAACATATTTAATATTTTCTCTGAGTGAGCAAGTGACATTCTCTTGTGAACAGTAGGTAATTAAAATGGAATGGGATCATCAAGATTATCTAGTTTATTAGCTTATATGCTTAATTTTCAATTTTATTAATAAAGCTGTTTTTCAAACAGGAGAGGTTAAATTCTGAGGATCTCATAATGAGAACCATCCTGAATGTAGGAATGCTTGAAGCTGGCACCATGCTGTTATGTTTTAGCTATGCACACTGGAAATTCTCTGATTTGCTTGGGTTTCTAGCTCTTATAAACAGAAAAAAAATTCCTGACAAATAGAAAAGCTTTATTGACAAGAAAACAGAGAGTAAAAAATCATAGTATCCTATTCTTATCTTGTTATATTCCAATCTGAATCTATGATGATATTTTATTTAATATTCAAAAAGTATTTCTTTAGCATTTACCACATGTCTAAAGTTCTAGGTTCTGAAGATGGAATTACAAACTATAAGTAATAGCCCCTATTTTCAAGGAATGTTTTTGTCTAGCGGGCATAGCATCAGAAACTGATATAGAATTACATCCTGAAGGTATTTCGAGCTTTTAGTTTTTACCTCTACTGGTCTACTTATTTTGTAAGCTGTCATGGCATTGTGCAGACAATCCATAAATGATACAGTTCCATGGCTTGTGAGGTCAGCCAACAGTGCCCATTCCACACAAAGAAGAAATTTCGGCTATGGATCTTGACTGGAAGGAGGATGAGAAATTTTGGCAAGTATATTAGGTTTCTATTGTTGCCATTGCAAGTTATTAAAAATTTATTGGATTAAAACAACTGAAGTTTGTTATCTTACTATTTATCAACTAGAAATCCAACACAGCTCTCACTGGATTAGAATCAAGGTGTAAATTGGATTGTGTCTCTCTTAAGAGGCTTTGGGGGAGAATCAATTTCATTTCCTTTTCTTCAACTTCTAGAGGCTACCACGTTCCTTGGTTCATGACACCCTTCTTCCATCTTCAAATCCTAAATGATAAGTTGAGTTCTTCACACATGAAGTTATTCTGATCTTCTTCCATAGTCATTTATCTCTGATGTTCCTCTTCTCCTCCCTCTTCCACTTTTAAGTTCTTTGTCATTAGAAAAAGATACTTAGATAATGCAGGATAATCTCCTCAAGTTCTTTATCATTAATTACATATGCTAAGTCACTTTTGCCATACAAAGGAATACATTCACAGATTCCAGGATTCATAGCATGGGCATCTTTGGTGGGTCATTATTTTACTTGCTGAAATAGGTTATATAGGCTTAAAGTTAAAAGACTCTGGAACCACTCTGCCTGTGGTTAATTAGAAGTACAGTACTATGTATGTAGCCTTCAGTGAGGATTCAATTTTTGCTATCCCTGCTCCCACTCCACTTCACCCCAAATATATCCCTTAAGATCACAACCTCCAGTATGACCACCCTGGGGAAAAAGGGCCTTTATGGAGGAAATTGAGGTTGGAGGAATGATGTTAGTATCCTAGTAAGAAAAAGCTTGAGAGCTCTTGTGCATTTACTTTCCCTCTGCCTCCATTTCCTCTCTTTCCCTCCCTCTCACCCTACCCGTTTTTTTTTTTTTTAATTTGTTTACATATTTTATTTATTTGAAAGGCATAAAGAGCTAGAGAGAAATACTGAGAGACAGACCAACAGACAGAAATCTGTCATCCACTAGTTCATTCTTCAAATGCCTATGCAAGGCCAAAGCTGGATTCCCAGAATTCCTTTCATGTCTTCCACATGGGTGATAGGGACTCAAATGCTGAGTCATCATCTGCTGCCTTCCAGGCTGCACATTAGTAGGAAGTTCGAGTCGGGGGAAGAGCTGGGAATTGAACCCAGGCTCTCAGTGTCCCAAGTGGCATCTTAATCACTCTTCCAAATGCCCACCCCAACTCAACGGCCGGAGCTGCACAAATCCAAAGCCGCCCCAATCCAAAGCCAGGAGCCAGGAGCTTCCCTCCAGGTCTCCCACGTGCGTGCAGGGGCCCAAGGACTTGCACCATCTTCCACTGCTTTCCCAGGCCATAGCAGAGAGCTGGATGGGAAGAGGAGCAGTCAGGACTAGAACTGGCACCCATGTGGGATACCAGTGCCACAGGCTGGATTAACAGGATTAACATACTGAGCCACAGTGCTGGTCCCAAAGGGATCTCATTTCCAAAGGATTATAGCTGTGTTGAACTCCTAGGCATTTTACTTGTGTTATCTTTCTGAATCTCTACAGTAATCCTGTGGAATAGGTACAATTTCTACACTATCTTAAAGATGAGGATAATGATGCCCAGAGTAGTTAACTGAGTTATCCAAGATTACTATGACAAGTCCAAGATAGTTTTTTTTTAAACTTGTCTGACTTTACTATCTCATCACATCATCTCTCTTAAGGTATAAGTGCTAATATTATTAAAGAATTGTCATATAGCAAATCCTATTTAAACCCCTTGTCTTGTGTTACTCTATTTAATCATCAACACAACCCGCTAACATAGGAAATATTACTAGCTCTGTTTTATAGTTGAGGAAATCAAAATGCAGTGGGTTTAATAACTTTTTCAACATGATATATCGTTACAATGATTTTGGAATCAATGCCCTTTTCTGTTTCTAATGATAATGCTTGTTATTTGATACCCAAAGATGAAGGCAGAAGAAGACTATGTTATAATTTAAAGCATCTAATTAAATTTTGTTAATTTGGCCCTAGTTTCAAGATAGTGTAGAGAATATAGCTACAGGCCATCTCGAATACTAGATTTGAATGGACATTCCTGATCATCAGTATCTATAGTTGTTCTTCAGTCCTTGCTTTAGTGTGGAAGAGGTGTCAAAGTAGAGCTGGATTAAGAAGTACAAGACTGGAATATTAATCCTGGTTTTTCCATGAACAGTTTATAATTGTCATTCTCCAAATGCTATGGCTCTCAAAAATGTGTATGCTGAAATCTAATCTCTATTGTATTGCTCTCAAGATGTGGATCCTTCAAGAGCTGATTAGATCTTGAGAGCAGAGCCTTCACACAGGAGATTAGTGCCCTTAAAGAAGTTTGAAGGAGTCTTCTGCTGTTTTGGCCTGTGAGAATGCACCATCATCCTTGAGGCAGAGAGTGGGGCCTCCACCACTCTGCTGGCTCTTTAATCTTCAATTTCCCAAGCCTTCACAACTGTGAGCAAAAGGTTTATATAGCTTATAATTCATCCAATATAAGCTAGTGTTATAGTTGCCTGAAGAGACTAAAGCTGTGACTTAATATCATTGGAGTTTAATTTTCTATCTCAAATATTCAAGAAATGAATTACAAAAATTCTAATGTTTGTGCCCATTCTGTGATTCTCTGTATACTACTTGCCCTCCCCACCTAGCATATCAGAAAATAGCTTCAAGAATTGACAGGAAATATACATGACAAAAGGCCTTTAGAAATACAAGAATATTTTTAATATTTCCAAAAGACCATGCAGGTGATATTTGCAGAAGCACAAAGTATTATATTTTGTTTTCTACTAATTTTATAAATGTACACATGTAAGTTATCTGTATTTGAAACAATACAAATCAATGACTCACATGACTAATATCTTTATTAAAAAAATAAGATTTAAATAATTTAAACAATATGTGAAACAAGTATATAACTGAAGGTTAACATCTTTAAAAGACTCAACTCATGAAATACTTTCAATACCTTATGGAAAAATTATACATTTGAGAGAGAACATGAATATACAACAAAGAAAACAAATAGAAAGGATCTTAGAAAGCAGCAATTTCCTTCCTCCTAGCTAATTTTTTCTAAAAGACCTATTTCTTTATATAAACATATTTCTAGATAAGTTACAAATGTATTAAGTTGCTGAAACTGCTTTCAAACTGATTTCCTAATATCCCCTCTCTCCAAAGGAATAGAACCTGGAGAGTACAGGTTGATATAATTTTTTTCCTCATGCCCAAAAGGAGTTTTGCAGGAGCCTAATAACATCTGATCAATTTCTTTAAAGTGACAAATAGATACGGGTTAATGTCCATAGTCCTGTATTAACATTTCTTGCTTTTGCCATTCACTGAAGGGCTTGGAAAATCCGAGCTCAGGTCTCACTCTCTGCCATCTCAACTTGGCTTTCTGAGACACACATCCTGTCTGAATGCCCTGTGTCTCAGAGGAGGGGCACAGTCTAAGTGATGCCCCTACTTCCATAGACTGGAAAGACAGCCTCGTCAGCCATCTTCAAACATTTCTTTCAGTGTGTTCCCATCCTCTATGTTTTTAATCTTACTTTTCCTTAAGGAAGCCATGTTGAGTTCCTCACTAGGTTCCAGGAAAAGTGCTGGGCCCTGAGGATACATTCATGAAGAGGTTTCTGGCCCTGCTCTTGAAGCCCCGGAGTCTAGCAGAATACTGTGCTGCATTTCGTTCTTTCACTCGTTCCCACTATCATTTCCTACCTCTGGGCCTACAGATCCTTGTCCCTATGAAGCGGGTTTGCCTGATAGAATTTCTAAGATTACTGGAGAGCAAAACACTCAAGAGTTGAGTTAAGACTTAATAAAACTTACAGAAGCAGACTAAGAGTACAGGACAGAATGGTGACAGCATTCTGGCCCAGTGATCTCAATTCCTGGAACTCCCCCTCTGCCAGTAGAGCAGGGATTGTTGGGGTCTGATGATCTCCTGGCCCAGTGGTTTGCAGCCTGGCACAGGGCACACACACAAACATGAGTAGGTAGTCTGAAATGTCCACTCTTCTTTATTCTTTCATTTCACCGAAGGAGCAGTAGCTGGGCCCCAGGCCTCGTACAGTGCAGTCAGTGCTGTCACTGTCACAGTTGCCGCAGTGACATTCAGTGGCCACTGGGTATGTGTACAGGGAGTCTGCATGGTGAGCACAGCCAGGCACCCTCACTGTCTCGTACACCAGCTCCTTGAAGGTACATATCTTCTGGATGTTGGGCCTTGCTGGGTCCTTATAAACAAGATCCTGAGGAGTTCAGGAAGGAGAGAGTTAAGTTACAATATTCTGGAAGTTTTATAGTTTGTGAAAATGAGACATAATTTAATACTGCTTGCTCTAAAACCCACATACCATTGTAAATGACCTTTATATCATTTCCTAATTGTACTGAAAATCTTACAGAAAATATGTGTAATTCATTGTCCTACTCCCTATTGCTACATCAAAACAATCACTTCTCAGAAAACAACTTTGAATTTCAATATGGAAAAATTATGAAAAGGGATCTATGACTAAAAATTTTCATTTACTCTTTGTACTTAATCAAAAGCTGTATTAATGACAACTTAAAACATGAACACTAGCTTAATTTCTTACAAAATATTCCCAAACACACTATCCTAGTATTTATAAAAAGTAAAAAAGGAATATTAATGTTTAGCTTAATGTGTTTACAAAGGCTTATGTAAGATATTACATATTCTGTTGGCTTATAAACAATTCTCCCCTTAAATGCAGGGCTCTTAATTTCAAAGGATACACAGTATGCATAGAAATATTTTTAATCCAGGCAGAAATTATTTGTTTTAGCATTTCCCAGTACAAATCTTGTTTGAATTGAAGACGAAATTGGGGGTGCATTTAATTTATTTCAGTATTGTGCTACTGAGTCTCTTTCTTAAGAAGGTGTAATAAATTGTGCAATAAGTAGAGTTCGACTGATCAAACACATTGCAATCAAACAAAATGGATTTTATTAAAACTTTGCTATTTTCAATTTCAGTTTATAGAATGAAATAAGTAGGTGCTACAGAAGAAAAAGAGCAACAACTGAAAACTCCTTCTTAATTTGTATTAATGCAAAAGAGCTATGCAGATACAGACTACCAATTCCATGCTGCTGTGTCTTGGTTTTCTATTCAGTATAAAGAAGTGAATACTTATGCTGATTCATTTTGTTCTAACTGTGTTCAAGGACTAATTTGTGTTTTCAGGTTTCCTATTAGCATTTATATTCAGGCAGGACAAAAAGATAATTTTATCTTCTTTTAAATAATGTTGCTTTTTTATAGTTATGTCACTTGAAAACATATTTTAGTACAATGTGTATGGCAAATACATGGCCTCAATTATAGAAATTGCCTTCTGGGCATTATTGTAAGTCTTTTATAAATACACACACACACACACACACACACCCTTCTATGTTTAGTCCTCTACGTGTAAAATCTAGCATAGAAATTTTTTTATATTTGAAAACACTGATTTGGCAATTTAGTAAACTGATCAGGTCCAGTCTAGAGATTTTCCAAATTTACCCAAATCGAATCCAAGTCCAAACATCTAACTGATATAGTGATGATTAATCGTAATCACAAAACAGAATTATAGCTTAGGAAATACAAAATGTTGATAAAGTGGAAATTAACAACGCATGCCTCATACAGACTCTCAATAGCTTCACTTCCAGCAAAGTGCAGTACCCACCCTAGTGTAGCAGTAGCCGGAACACCAGGTGGTATTGATGCTTATGCAGAAACGGCACTCCTCTTTCTCCACTGCAATGGTGATGTTGGTCAGCTCACAGCTACTGCAGCAGATTGCTTTCCAGCAACAGAAAAGGAAACAAAACTGGACAGACTTCATCCTGGCCTAGGAACAAATAATAAAAGCCCATTAGGAACCAAGAAACTAAAAAATTTTGATGATTCATAATGTAAATTGATTAGAACAAAAATCACTGATCTCTCTATCTGCCCCAATCACATTTTGCTTCAGCATTTGCTTCTCTTCCATGGTATCTCTATTACTTTTTTTTTTGCATTTCTCTGTTTCCTGGAACATTCTCCCTCCTCCTCCTTCTCTTTCTTGTTTTATTTTTTGTCAAAATGAAGCATGCTATAGATCAAAATGTCAATATAATAGCTTAAGGAGAGCAGTATGTAATGATTAGAGCATTACTACTGAGTGTCTTAATGTGATTATTCTGAAACAAACAATTATGATCATCATATTTCCCCTTTCATTAACATTTTATGGGTAAGTTTTGTTTAAAAAGAAAATTCTATAGTACAAATTGTACTATATTATAAATATTCTTATTTGTTTTGCACACATTTGTTTAAAAGAAGACAATTTCAGAAGCTAGGGAAATTGGTCTACAAAGCCAGTGACTTCCTAACAATGACTATAAGTACTAACCATATTTCATAAGCTAGGTTGACAAATATAAATTCCCTGCACAATTCTAATGAAACGCTCTAATTTGTTCTACATGCCCTGAAAAATCTGTAATTTCAGAAATAATTGTCACCCCTTAATAACCAAATGCCAAAACTCACCTGTGGTTGGCTGCCTTGTCTGGGGAAAACTGTAGACTGAAGCAAGTTTCAGTTCATTCGGTCAGCTTTTATATAAAATCATGTGCAACTAACACTTCGTGGATTTGTTGGGTATTAGTATAATCGATGCTAACCTGATGCTTGCTGTAAGTGAATCAGTGTTTAGACAGACAGGGAGATCAAGCCTTGCTAAAGTAGTCTAAACGCAGTGGATCAGAAAAACTGATGTTACCAGAGGTGACTTTGTACACATTAAATTTGATATAGTAGCACACCCACTCCTTTACCTTGTCAAGTTAAATGTGACTTCGGGTTTCTCTTTTGTATCTTTAACTTGGGGAATTCAAAATCCTTTCCTGGTATTGCTTTAGCTCTGTTGAAAAGGTACATCAACAAGATCTGCTTAATAAATTGCTCCAAGAGAGGATTAAAAGCTGAGCAAAGAAACAAACAAATATAAAGCATTTTGTGATCTGTCTTTTGACTGAATCATGAACTGTATCTCTTTACCTCCTACACCTAGGTCTGCCAATCTTAATCACCATTTTTTTATTATTTATTAAGAGCTTTCTACTTTTTTTTTGTAACCACCTAAATTTTCTGCTGAATCATTTCTCCAGGATTTTTTCTTATTTCATGATGTTTTTTCCTGTCTGAAATATCCTTGCTTCCTCCCTGTCTCCCACAACACTACCCCCACCTCTGTCAAATTCACCTCCTAACATTCAACACCCATGGGTGTTTCACTTGCTGGAGTTTAGGCTTGGAGATAAAAGAGAGCTTAAATCACAACCTTCTGTTTGTGATCATTTATATACATCTCTTTTCTCCAGTACACTATGAGCTCCTTAGAGACTAGGATTGAATTGTTTAACAAATATTTATTTATTAAGAAGTGTGCCTAGGCTGGGCGTTGTGGCACAACAGGTTACACTGCCATTTGAGATGTCTGCATCCCATATCAGAGTGCCAGTTCAAGCACCAGCTACTCTGCTTTCAATCCAGCTTCCTGCTAATGCATTGTGGGGGGCAACAGATAATGGCCCAAGTACTTAGGCTCCTGCTACCCATGTGGGAGACCCAGTGGAGATCAAGGCTCCTGGATTCAGCCTGGCCTAGCCCTGGCTATTGTGAGCATCTGGAAGGTGAACCAGCAGATGGAAGATCCTTCTCTCTTGCTCTCTATTTCAAACATATGCTTTAAATAGATATAAATAAATAAACATTTTAGAAAAAGAAGTATGCCTGGAACAAAAAGTCAATGGCAGAAATGTTAGGATATGATGTCAGAGGTGGAACAAGAAGCAAATCATGTAGGACTTTTTAGATCAATACAGGTACTTTAAATTTTATGGCAACCATTGTAGAATTTCTTTTAAAAGATTTATTTATTTATTTGGAAGTCAGAGTTACACAGAAGAAGGAGAGGCAGAGAGGGAGGGAGGGAGAAAGGGGGAGGGAGAGAGAGAGAGAGAAAGAGAGGGAGGGAGAGAGAGAGAGAGGTCTTCCATCCACTGGTTCACTCCCTAATTGGCTGCAACAGCTGGAACTGGGCCAATCCAAAGCCAGGAACTGGGAGCTTCTTCTGGGTTTCCCACACGGGTGCAGGGGCCCAAGGACTTGGGCCATTTTCTACTGCTTTCCCAGGCCATAGCAGAGAGCTGTATCAGAAGTGGAGCAGCCGGGACACAA